CTTCGAGGGCCAAATAATTCCCAGCATACCCAATATCCAATGATTATTAAAATTGTATTAGGGATGAAACAAGAGCCTAGGGTAGTTAAGGGATTTTGCCCAGGATGGAGCTGTGCAGCAAATGTAAAATCAAGAGTATGTGTGAAGAAGGTAATTAACTACTCTTACAATAAAAACATAAACAAAGGGGGGTAGGAGATCAACCGAAGGACTTGTATGCATGCATATAAGCATAACCAATGGACATAAGACACTGGGTAGGAGAGACCAGGGGATTGTCAAGGGCGGGGGGAAAAAAAAGACACATATGTAATATCCTTTGTAATACTTTAAGCAATAAAAAAAATAAAATAAAAAGGCCTTTTTGAGAAGGAAACAACCAAAAAAAAAACATAAACAAAAACGCCACATACCCACTGCTTTGTAGAAAGAAGGCCCATACCTATTATAGCCGATGGAAGATCATTTAAAAGCTCTGAACAAACATGACCATGATATTCAGAAGTATGAATGGTTGCCAGGAAATGTAGATAGTGACCCCTCCCTAGCTAATACTAAATTGTTTTCATTAAAGGATAAGGGATTCACTTAATACTTGAGCTGAAATCACCAAAACTATAATTGTGCAAAGCATACAGGATATAGGCAATGGATTTAGTAAAGAGTATATACAGGGTGGGGCACAAGTAGGTTAACAGTTGGAGTACACAAAACAATTTATTTTTGTGTTTTTATTTATTAATTGTTGCAGTATTTTTCATATGAACTGTAAACCTACTTTTGCCCCACCCTGTGTACAGTCTAAAAGTCCTTTCTTCAAAACCAGTGGTGTTAAATGGGTACTGACAATAAAACAGGCCATACTAAAAATAAAAAATAAGGGCACAGATGCTTAATTTCTCTGGTGGCACATTTATTCCTACATATGACGTGCTCGTGCTCCACTATCCTTAATATTGCTTAATTTCAGCCTCTTAAATGTTAAGTGCTGTGAATAGCCACTCCCACTGTATCAGTGCTAATAACTTAGTGTACTGTAAACATAACCAACCACTCAAGGATCTATGTGATTTACCTTTTATTTTAGGATTTCTTTTTCATGCATAAGCCATCGCTATGGCACCCAAACCTTCTTAGTGATTAGTTTGTAACCAACTGATTTTTCCCAAGGAGCATGTGGTTTGAAGTTTTGTTTGTTTCCGTCTAGAAAACTTTAATAGACTTTTGGAAAAGAAGTAACTGCAACAGCTTAAGAGGTTATATCTCTTTCTCAATTTAATGATTTGTTACTCTTCAAGTCAAAACAAATGAGTCAGACTCTAAATGTCCTCACATGTGTGTGATGGGTTCCTAGTTCTGAAAGTTTAGGAAAGGTTCAAGCAGAAGGAAGAAGTAAGTGGTAAAGGATTTTACTGTTCCTTATTCTAGCACCTCAGCATTATTAAAAATTACTTATTGTTATCAATGTGATAAGCAAACTTCTATGAAAGCAATATTCAATATGTACAGCTCACTTTCCTCAGCAAGGTTGCTTTGCAAGCCTAGATCTGGTAGTTCTACTTGACATTTCAGCTGAAAATTGGTAAAACTATATACAGGGGACACTGCTACATAATCTTACATAAAACTAGCAGTATTTTCCCACGAGGCATTGTTATATATGCTGTTAGGCTATACAGTATTCGTGACTAAAGATTAAAGCAACTGGCTGATGGAACATAAGTCTGGATATATTTAGCAACTATGTTTCTACAACTCATTTAGATGAAAATAACACACACACACACACAAACCTAACATTTTAGGTTAATATAGAATACCATTTGAGAGACATTTGTGAAGTGATCTAAAATACTTTAGCTACTATTTCCGTGATAAAATATGTTTCAAATTCCAAATCAATTGAGAAACAAACTTGGGAAGGCTCCATCAGTGACTAAAGGCTGACTCTACCCTTTATCCAACCACAAGTAGCAGCCTACCTATAACCGCAATTTTTGCCCTGGGTTGATTTAAGAACTTGAAGGAGAATTAAACATTAGCTTATTATTTAATGTGAAGGAGAGATTGTTATCTCCTGCATGTATGCCGCTCCGACAACCCCTGAGGATGCTTGGGAAGTATGAAGGGTTATTAAGAAGGGCAAGGGAGCCCTGCTGCATGGCTCAGTGTTTGAGCGTCTTCCTATGAACCAGGAGGTCACAGTTCGATTCCCGGTCAGGGTACCTGCCTGGGTTGTGGGCTCGATCCCCAGTGTGGGGCGTGCAGGAGGCAACCGATTGATGATTCTCTCTCATCATTGATGTTTCTATTTCTCTCTCCCTCTCCCTCTCTCTGAAATCAAAATACATTAAAAAAGAAGAAGAAGAAGGGCAGGGGAGCAGAGATGGCCGTTATTTGCAAAGTCATGCGTGGGGGGAATGTATAGAGAATATCTACAACTAAGCAACCTAAAAAAAAGGTGTGAGCTCCTTGAAAGCAGTGTTGGTACCTTGACTTTGCATCTTGGCTCACAATAAGCACCTACGAAATGTTTGTTGAATAAACTCTGATAGAGGCAATAGGAAAAGTGAGCGTAACTTAAACATTACGCAGGCGAAATAGCTGTCCATATGGTTTTAAAAATGCATACTCTATTAGAGAAAGCTGTGAACAAAATAGTTAAGGCATAATAATGTTCCCACATTTTCCCCATGCAATTGGCCTGTTAGTATGTTTTAACTATCTAATCTTGATTAATACTTCAAGCTACTGCAAAACTCTTCAAGATGTCTGCAACCTGTCCTTAAAATTTAGCTGCAAGTCAAACAGGAAGAATTTTTTCAGAAACAGTTTTTACTTGCAACAATTCTGGTAATCCAGAAGCGCATTTCACCGTTACAATACACATCATGTACAAATTATGTTTTGACAAGCCTGGAATTTATAGACAAAAGTAACATTGTCCCAAACTAAAGCTATACTTAAATTTTATATTATGAAAATTTTCAATATATACCAAGGTAAGAGAAAATAATTAAACAAACACCCATAAACCCATCATCCAAAGTCTACATTTATCAGAAATTTCCCACAACTGCTTTTCTATACTCCCTTCCTGTCCCTTGTCTTCTTTTACCCCCTTCCCTTCCTCCCTTTTCCTTATCCTGAATTATTTTATTTTATTTTTTAATTTTTTATTGCTTAAAGTATTACAAAGAGTATTACATATGTCTCCTTTTTTTTCCCCGCCCTTGACAATCCCCTGGCTTCCCCTACCCCCCAGTGTCTTATGTCCATTGGTTATGCTTATATCCTGAATTATTTTAAAGCAAACCCCAGACATCCCAGTATTTCATTTTCTAGAAATGCTTCTATTTTATTCTAAAATCTGTCATAAGCTAGATCCTAACTGATTTTTTTTTTTCAAGCACCGATACCTATGAGTCACTTAAATCCCAAAGGGCACCCAAGCCTGTGTCATTTCCTGGAGGAATATCCAATACCCATTTTAAGTAAAGTTTCCTTTCAGTTTTTGTACTTTATATATATAAAAAAAGATATGATCTTAAAGCAATGGCTATCTAAAAATAAGTTAGTAACTTTTCCAATAAAAGAAACATTCAACTCAATTTAGTCAGATTGAAGACATTCTTTAAATTCTTGCCAGACAAGAATTTTGTAGATACTTGATGTACATCTTAATGACATCCTAAAAGCCCCTTTGCTTGGGATGAAGAATACTATATCAAACCCAAAGATAACAAACACTACTACTCCTTCCCGCATCTTTACAAATCTAAGGTGTATTAATTGCTTGGCTTGAAATAGTGCACTCTCCTTTTAACAAGGTCTAATCCTTTCCATAGTTCCTAAATAAATCTTGACACTTTCCAAAAATATCCAAACGTATCTGCTGCTGATGAAATTAATTAATCTTCACACCTGAGGGTTATTTCCATTCTCCTTTCCTTAGAAAATTAACAACGAAGCGAAGGGCAACACACACACACACACACACACACACGCACACACGCACACACGCACTCCCCACAAGGCAGGATCAGACTAGTTAACATGCTCAAACCAAACATTATGATGTAGAACTCAAAAATCGCTAGAGATACAATTTCAGCTTAGACTTTGAGCTAAGTTGAGAGCTTATCTATTAGTCACTGAAAGTACCTTCTGCAGTGCTACGTACGCTGCTTATATGGTTCTCAAATATAGAACTTGTTAATTGAAAACTAGATTATTTTATGTCATATTCCACTTTTTACTTCATACAGGTATACTAATACAACCACTCTGAGACATTACCCTTAACTCAGACTCAGGATTTATATAACTAGCTATATTGAAATAAGGAGAAATAAAACTTATAGGATCACCATGTAATGGAAAACCCTGGTGATTCTGTGAACATCAAAATCACTTATCACTACTATGTTATAAAATAACACCACCAAAATGTCACCACCAATGGTTTTCATTTTTTGGTAAAGTATAAATAAACATTAGGACAACTGTTTGTCAGAAGTCATTTTGTAAGAGTTGATAGAATACCAGTCTAATCAGGACATGTTGTCATGACAGCTACCTCATCTTCTATTACATAGAATACAGAAAAACCATTTAACAGGGACCAATGACATTTAAAATCTCACCCACCCCCAATACAGAGTAATAGTTTCTGTCACTTAAACCTTTTGGTCATTTAACTTGATAGATATGGCTATATGATTAGAATATCAAAACCAAGTTTTAAAAAGTACTAAGTTGCTAAAATGGTCCCCCAAATAAAGCAAAGACAACATATAGAGAACAGGTTAGATTCTAAACTTCAAAAATTTCTCTTACATTTGATTCAACTTGAATAAATAAGATTCAGAAAATGTCTCCAAATGTTTAACTACCAAAACACATAAGAAGAATTTTTCAAACTTTGTGAAGTAAATTTCTGCTTACATATTCAGTAATCTAAAAGTTTGAGCCCAACGAAGTAATATTAAAATAGTTACCCTTCTGGGAGGCCGAGAGCAAACCTGTTTCTTTCTCGCAGCACTAAGAGAAGGAACCTCCCACGCTCAGAACGCCAATCTGGAAACCCAACATTCTTTTTACAATTGCAAGTCATAACACTTCCTGCTTGGAAAAGAGAACACCCTGACAAAAGAATGATATAATACTTACGAATCCCCTTCCTGTCGGCCTCACAGTATTTGTTGCCAAGTATTAATGAAGTCTAACTTCACAGCATTTAGAGAAACGCTAATTTTTCCAGCACCAATGAAATCATGCAAGGACACCAGGGAATTTAAAGTTGGTTCAGGTCAAATAGCTACAACCCACATACCTATTTAGAGTCTGAACGTTAGCCAAGTGACCTGCTTATTTTAGAAGACATGGAAGGAACCAGCTTCTCCCCAGTGCCCAAGTCACTACACCTTAGTAAAGTACATTACTTAGAAAGGCAAACTAACTCTCTCAGACCACTGATGTTCTCTATTATTCATTTGGATCCAGACTTATTCCTATCTTCATGCAACATTTACCTTCCATGAGCTAGGTGTGGTAGCATTTATTGTGAGTATCTACTACACCTGTTTTCTGTTGAAATGTAAGCTGTTAAGTTTAGGAACCCTATTTTCTTTCTTTTTTCAAATATATTTTTATTGATTTCAGAGAGGAAGGAAGAGGGAGAGAGAGAAACATCGATGATGAGAGAGAATCATTGATCGGCTGCCTCCTGCACACCGCCCATTGGGGATTGAGTCTGTAAGCCGGGCAATGCGCCCTGATGGGGAATCAACTGTGACCTCCTGCTTCAGAGGTCCATGCTCAGCCACTGAGCCATACTGGCCGGGCAGGAACTCCATTTTCTACCAGCATCGCATATAGGAACTAAGCTCTAGAGCCAGATTGGGTTCAAGTCCTGGTTCCACAATTTTCTAGCCGGGCATGAAAAAATTAGCCAAGTTGCTTAAGCTCTTGTGCCTGTTTTCTCATCCAGGAATAACAGTAACTACTTCACATAACAGCAACTACTTTGTACATTGTTGCGATGCTTAAGTGATTTAACATTTAGATCATAGCCTGCCACATGGTAAGCATTTGATATATGATCACTGCTATTCTTTTTTAAAATATATTTTATTGACTTTTTTTACAGAGAGGAAGGGAGAGGGATAGAGAGTTAGAAACATCGATGAGAGAGAAACATCAATCAGCTGCCTCCAGCACACCCCCTACTGGGGATGTGCCCGCAACCCAGGTATGTACATGCCCTTGACTGGAAAGAACCTGAGACCCTTGAGTAAACAGGTTGACGCTCTATCCACTGAGCCAAACCAGTCAGGGCTGATCACTGCTATTCTTATTGAAATTTGCTTTTTTAACGTATCTAATCAGTTAATTGCGAAATTAAGCAACTAGTTTGTGGGGAGTGCCCTTACTGGAGAGAACAGAAAATCAACAGGAGTGATGTACGAGGCTCAGGAGACCATGTCTAATACTGAACATCATTCGAAAGGAAATGGAGCGCAATGGGAGAGTCAGGTTCCTTGGGCTCTGACAAATTTGAAGTCTGTGTGATCCCAAACAAATTATTTAGCCTCTCTGAGTCCCATATTCATATCCATAAACATGGAGCTAATTCACAGGGTTGCTCTGATGATTAGAGGAGACGATACAAGTATATAAGAGCATCTGGCTCCAGCAAGGTGCTCAGTAAGTGGCAGCCATGATTATAATCTACTTGGATAGAACACTCGTAATATCATCTGCTCTGTCTTCCTAATAGGAATGAAAGGGAGATAATAGCTACTCCAGTCCTTTATAAATAATATAAAATAAACACAGGGAAGCGTTTTATGATAATATATTGAATTTCCAGAATAAGGAGGCAACTCACACTGCACTTGCTTGTAAAAAGGCTCGAGACAGTCCAGGTCAGGAGGCAGTGTTCTCCGGCCCTCATCACTAACCGCCATTAGCAGACACTGGGGCTACATTTTATCTCCTTAATAGGAGCACTTTAATTTATTTCATCAATCACAAAAACCCCATAAAATATTAAAAGGCAACACAATGCAGAACGGAAGGAATATAGCGGCAGAAGCCAGGCGACGTGTTTTTTCCATGTTGTTGTTGCTGACTCACTCACTGTGTGAAGCCCCCGTCTTTCCCAAGTCTCAGTTTCACCGTTTGTAAAACAAGCCTAGCACTGACTGTGGCCTGTCAGGGGATATGGGAGACAGTACGTGACTCTCAAGCACTTTGAGCTACCTGGAAGGATGCATATGTACGCACCATCATATATTTTCCAGAGAAAACTGGGGCACAGGCAATTGCCTCAGGTAAGAAGACGGTATCACCGTTGGACCAGAGATGTGGGGTTTTTCCCAGCCTTGCTTTTTTTTTCAGCCACACCTGTCATTTCAAACCACTTAGATGGGTCTGTCCCAATTGCTATTAACTTCTTCAATGATAAGGCTACCTAGAAATGGCTTCCTTGACTTTCCCTTTCCAGGTCATCTGGAATGTATAGGCTTTCTAGCTTTCTGTAATCTTTGATCACAGTGAAATCTGTCAACACCAAGTCACTGATTTTAAAATCTGTTTACCGTAACATAAGAGATTTCGTTTAAACTACAAAATATTGTGGTCAGAGTTATAGGAATGGCTACTCCCTTCACAAATGCATAGCTTCTAATTATTAAGCACTACGACATTTCCTAAAAGACTGTTCTATCACATCAGTAGTTCAACCAGTTTCCATCTGTGTCCCATTTTGTAACCTTCTAAATGTTTCACTCATCATCTGAGGTACGTGCGGTGTGCGGGGTCGGGGGGTAGTATTTGTGTATGTGCATGTGTGTGACTCTGTGTATGAACAGAATTCCTATTTTTACTATGGGTAATGAAAACTGGTTTGGGAATAGAAGATGGTGGTATGGGTTGTGTGATACATTTCAATTTTTATACGCAGGCCACAAAATGAAAACAACTTTTACACTGCACTTCAAATT